CATAGAAGCCTGAGCACATTTTCAAGGCAGCTACATAGTTTGGCAGCAACCCAAGAAGGGGGTCCAGGGAAAGTCCACAACCCACTGGGGAGAAAAGAAGCCAAAGAGCCAGCCATCTGTGTGGGGGAACACATGAAAATGGCTAACTCCTGCGGCCTTTGGAGCCCCAATGCCTATGGAGTTTGCTACAGAGTATCCACAAGAGAAAAATCCCCAAAAGAAAGGAAAACCTAGTCAGTGGGATTGGGACAGTGACTCCGGCCGCGTGCTTCTTACTTCTAGGAATCCTCAGACGGAAAAAGGGACTGAGTTGCTGTCTCCACCCTGCCTAATCACTTCCCCTCTCTGCCCAGCCATATCACTTCCTGTTTCCTCCTCCCAAGTGTTGGAATGAAAGGTGTGTGCCACCACTGCCTGGCCTCTAGTGGCCTGCTCCCCACTCTGATCCCCAAGCGAGATTTCTTTGTCAGAGCACAAACAAAATATCACCACAGCAAAGGCTAATGAAAGGCATTGTTTTCCAAATTTTGAGTAAGATGGATTTTCCAGAACGTTGTGTTCATCATTATCCTACTGGTTGGGCACCACCCGGCATGCCAGCCTGTTGCCCTGACATAGTGGGATGTAACTGTGGACCAGCAGCAGTAACACTCAAGCCCCGGGCTTAGTTGAAGATCGGTTAAAGCCGAACCTTTGGTGAATCAGAATGAGTATTGCTACATTTTACACCGTCCCCAGATGATGTCATTGCTCATGTAGGGCTGAAAAGCGGCAGCTAGACATTAGTCCACTCTGAGAACTAAGGGCAGGGCTATTTCAGACAGTTTTTTTTTTCCCTGTGGTATTACTTGTCATATCATGCCTTCCTTTGAAAGGCCTAAATTGTTTACCTGGAGTATCGCTCCAGTCAGTTGTAATGAGAATGCAAGGGATGGAGGAAGCTTGGTCCTCTTCTGAACACCGGCCCAGTGTGCAGTCATGTGTGCTCTTAAAGGAGCTATTATTGATTAAAGCTATTGATTAAAGCTATTGATTCTAGGCTCAGAAGCAGAACCGCTTCGGAATACCTTAGGCATTGGTGTTTGTTTTCTTCAAAATTTCCACAGTAACTCTGTGTCTAATGAAAACTTTAATTTGGAAAAACATCAAAAGTGGCAGTTTGGAGAACTATTTAACAGTCACAACTCTATCACTTTGACTTTTGAAACCTTACCAAATTTTTTCATGGTATTTTCAGTATTGCTGAAGGGTGGCCTCTCCCTTGCCTTAATCATGTGCCAGATTACCCGTAAACCTGGACCATATGCCACTGCAATTTGCTGATGGGCCCAAGCTGTTTTGGTAGATAAAAAAATCCAAGGGGATTAGAATGTCTGAGAGCCATTGTGAACACAGCAGCAGTGGTCAGGCAGATATATGCTCTTCTTTCTCCCCTATCTACACGGTACCCCTTTTCCTTCATTAAAGGCTATGGATAACCCACACCCTAATGACAACATCAGAATAAACAAAATCACCTTTCTCTCTAAATACAGTTCTTTAGACATTAAACCAGATTTCAGACATGTATATTCACACAATTCAGTAGTAGAATGCTTCCCATCTGGAATACAGAGTGATCTGGACTATAGTGTGGGGCACATTTACCCCATAGGAGTACCATAGGGAATCTTTCTTCCTTAGTTCAACACAGCTAATGTTCTTGTCATCCATGTTTGGGTGACTACAAGGTTTTGATTTTTAAAAAAATGAATTTGCCTGGTGTGGTATTGCTCACCTATATATAATTCCAGCTGCTCAGGAGGCTGAGACAGAAGAATCTGAAGTTCAAGGCTGGCTGAAGCAGTGTAACAAGACACATCTTCAAAATAAATAAACAAATAAGTAAACAAATGAATGGAAAGTGGCACTTGTGACTTGAAAAGTATAATTGCCTGGATGATTAACATTAAAGTGACCTTTTAGAAGATATGATTGACTGGAATATACTTTCCCATGCTCATACTTTCCCTTTTAGTAAATGTAAAACCTTTCCCACATTGAGTCACTGTGATTTATCCTTTGTGTCTTGAGATCTGCTTCTTGATAGCTGCCTATTTATTTTAAATATATAATAAGCTCTCTTTAAAGATAAAGCAACAAAACATATTGCTCAAAAATATTCTAGGTTCTATCATAAAGAAAGAGATAGATGGAATTATTTACAATGATTGCAAAAATAAAGAATTTATGTTTTAAGTTCTGAGTTACAAGAACTGTCTTTCTCTTATCACCTTAAGCCAATGTAATCTTAGCAATGTCAGATTGGGTAAAAATATATTTATGCAGTTTTCATAGTTAAATGAAACTACCATTTCTTTAAAAATTAAAATATCTCAAGCAATTTTATAAACAGAGCAAAATGATGTGGGAAGTGTGAAATAAAAAATGTTTTCACTCATTAGAAATGACCTTACATAGTCTCAGTATGTATGAGTTATCAGGACATCTGTAACTTGTGAAAATCATTTTCATACACTATTCCCAAATATTATCTATTTTCTCTTTATTTCTGAAAACATGTAAATATGCAAATGTGCAAGCTGAAAACCATACTTCGTATGCATTCTGATACACTAAGGGGTTAAATGAAGAGTCTGCAATTCATTTGTTAAGACTTCCCAACAAAGGCATTGGTGGAGATGCTACCAACGTTATTTATGTCCTTGTTCCTTCAGAGGAAAGGTCACCTTTCCAGAGGCATAACAAACTGGCACACTGGGATGGAGAGGAACATCAGTAATGTCAAACACATTCTCACTTGTGTACCGAAAGCAGAGCAAAGGGAGCAGGAATTCAAAGAAAAGGAAATGATGAATAGAAGATCAATGGCTTGGGTAAAAGTGTTTGTGAGACAGACATGGGAATCTGTTTCAAATCTGTTTCCACACAGTCACTTCAAAGGGGGATCTGAGAGGCACTGTGTGAGGTAGATGTGTTGTGAAAACAAAGCTAACTTTTAGTTGTGAGTGGACCAACTGTCCTGTGTGTTGGGCATGCCTTCCCTCACATCTTGCTGGGTCACCTTTTTGACTCTAGCTGTTGTCACAGGAGCCAGTGGTGTGCAGTGTTAGGAGCCAGTGGTGTGCAGTGTTAGGACTTTTGTAGCCATTGTACATAATCCGTGCCTTCCTGTAGCGTAGGGAGGGAAAATGCTTCTGATATTAAGTACTTTGGAGGAATGTAAAATAAGCACTAGCACCAGGGAGGTCATTGTTGCAATTTTTAAAAATGGGGAGGTCTATGAAGATCTCCCAAGAAATACGGATATTTTTAAGAGTATCCTGGGGTTACAACCAGATAATTCTATCCTCAGTTAAAAATATCACAAGTAGGGAAAACATTTAATACACCTTACTGTGGTATTGTGTTCCCCGAAATATTGTGCATGCTAATAAACTTATCTGGGGTCAGAGACAGAACAACCACAATATTAAATATATTGGATAGGCAGTGGTAGCACATGCCTTTAATCCTAGCATTCCAGAGGCAGAAATCCATGTGTTTAAGGATACAGCCAACCATGGTGACTCACACCTTTAATTCCAGAAAGCATGCCTTTAATTCCAGGGAGTGGTGGTAGAAAGCAGAAAGGTATATAAGGCGTGGAGACCAGAAACTAGAAGCATTTGGCTGGTTAAGCATTTGGCTGGTTAAGAATTTGGCTGGTAAAGCTTTCAGGCTTTGGAGCACAGTTCAGCTGAGAGCCACTGGGATGAGGACACAGAAGCATCCAGTCTGAGGAAACAAGACCAGCTGAGAAGTTGGCCAGGTGAGGTTAGCTGTGGCTTTTCCTGGTTCTCTGATCTTCCAGTTCACCCCAATACCTGGCTCCAGGTTTGATTTTATTAATAAGAACTTTTAAGATTCCTGCTACACCTTACCTACTAAATATCATGGCATGGAACATAGTATTCTGTGGAATGTTGGGATATTGCCATGGTAACTGTGTGGTTGACAAGAAGCTAATGCTCCCTCCTACTGGCCTGCATCAGGAAAGAGTATTTTATCACTTACTACTTGTCTGATAAAAGAACAACATCCACGATTCAAAGTGCATTGAAACCAGACTTGAGAGTGTATAAGCAAACGTAGAAGGAGACACACTAGTTAAGTCAATAGCAGATGCTCATGCACTGGTAAGACTCTAGAAATGCTGTGTCATCAGAACTAGCATACAAGGTGTGAGATAACTCTGAGGAAGGAGTGAAAGATGACCTCAAAATTTTAGTCAAGAAAAAGAAGAAAAGGGCTCAGATTCCCAGAGACTGGGAAGACTGTCAGTTTACAGGTTTTAGGGAACAACGAATCTGTGAATCTGACAAGACAACAAAATAGAAATCAATAGGTTAGCAGTAGCCCAACGTGTGTGGCACCAAGGTGAATTATTAGTGTGAGTTGTATATAAATTATGATTTCAGTCACAAACGTGCAACAAGGAGGTAAAGAGAAAATTGAAGAGTTTGAGGACTGAGCTCTGGGGTCTCCATTGTGTTGGAGGTTGAGGAACTAAAGAGAAAATGGCAAAGGAATGAGGAGAGTGTATGTTGATAACTGGGGGAACGTGAAATCTTCTCAGCCAGATTGAAAAACAAAAACAAAAACAAACAAAAAAAACAAAACAACAACAACAAAACCCACTAGGTTTCAACATGGGCAAGCCCCAAGAAGAGGGATGTGAGATGAGCTTAGCTTTGAGAACTAGTTATCAAATTTAGAAGTATAGGCATCAGTGATGACCATGAAGGGTGCCCTCAGAGAGGAGGAGTGGAGAAAGCCAGAGGACTTTTAGGGAAAGGGACAAGAATATTGCAAACACTGAATACAAACAATCTGGAAAGATCAGGATGAGGAAGTAATTGGTAGAGAATATGGAATCGCATAGGTGTGACAACATCAAGGGAAGAATTTGCTGGTTACTATAGAACAGATGACATCAAGCATGGAAGCTATTAGAAACCGGTAAAGAGGGAAAGGTGGTGGTAATACAAGAGGTGAGAAAGATCTGCAAGACACTGACCTTGAAAAGACAAGAGCTGTGTGGCCCCAGTACAAACAACCCAGGAGAGAATCCTTGGTACAAAATGTTGAGAGGACAAGAGAGAAGGAAGAGTCTATGACATGGGCACACAACTATGGTTACAGGTAGAAATAAAAGCTGCGGGGATTGTCTTTATATTATTTTAATTTATCCTGTAAAATGAGAATTGAGGTCAGCAGGAACAGGGAAGATAGGGGGAAGTGTTTTGCTTGTGATGTTAGAGAAGGATTAGAATGTTCTAGAAATGTGAGAGGATGTATTTTACCTTTTGTTGCTGAGATAAATATGGAGAGAAACAACTTACGGGAAGAAGCTATTATTCTGACACGCTTTCAAAGGGATAGAACATCATGGTGTCATGAGAACATCTAACAGAGATCTCATTGCAGCAGGACCACGAAGAGGAGATTACATTGGAACTGTAGGTAGGTGTCATCAATAACTCTAGCTGGCTATGCCTACTGGAATTTCTGACTCAAAGGTCCCACAGCCTGTTAGAACAGTCCCAGTGGTTGGGGCCATATGAGTTTGTGTTTCACATCCCCTCTGGGGATATTTCACATTCAAACACAGCAGAATATGACTCACGGCACGGTGGGGAAAGACGTGACTCAAGATGCCAGGGGGGCTCATGCATGTGAAGGTGTGCGCTTTTCCTAGAAAACTCAGCTGAGTGTGGTGCCGAAGACAGGGCCTTTCCAGTCTGACGTGATAAAATGAGAAATCCAAGGGAACTGGGTTTCAGGGAAGATTGGACTCAGCCTAGATAGATCCCTGTTTTCTTTCCATTGGTGTCCGCACCTGGCTTTAGGGTTTCTACTAAACATGTCTACCGTAAGAGAGCTATACTAATCTATACTAATTTTGTGGCTTTTGTTCTGCTCACTGCCCAAACACACTCATGGTCTAAGCAGGGACTTTAAATAAGTCCTACCGTCCCTGCCTTGGCTGCCGCAGATGGCGAGGACAGGAGCTGGCGTACAGGGAACAATACAACAGGGGCGGATGAGAGAAGCAGGCTAGGGACAGAATGTGGAGGTTCTAGAAGTGTGTGTTACAGAATAATATTCCCAATTAAATAAGGGGCCGCGAGTTACTTACATCCTGACAAGTTTTCCCAACTGCAAGGCCTTTTCTGACCTTACTGAGAAACCATGGTTAAAGGATAATGTGCCCAATTACATATGCTGCTACTGATATTCTTTCCATAAGGGGACCCTTAGGATAATATATGTTCTATAGGACAATTTATTCTCCAATTAAATGGTATTGAGGAATGAATAGTTATGAATAAAAAGAGAAGGGTTTCTCATTTGTCCAAAATGAAAGACAATCTGAATGGAGGTGGACCAGAAGAAAGGGTCACTGATGAAAAGATGTCATGGAGTAGGAAGACAGAGGAAAAAGATTCTTTATGCCATCATGATATTTTATTCTTGAACTTGGGGCAGGAAGTATGGAAGTTTTGTGAACTCTATCATTTAAATGCAGTTAGATCAGGAGTAGGGCTACAGCCACTTGAAAACTGTGTTAACTATGAAAGATAGCTCATTTATGATCTGACTGTTGGCTGGAAACTCAGCCAAGCTGTTGACTGCTACATTCACATGCAACCTCTCTTGGATAGCCAAACTCCACGGCAGCAGCTTTTCCAGAGCAGACGCCCTGAAGGAAGCAGGTGGAAACTGACTAGCTGTGCCTGGCCTGGCCCCATGAGTCATGCAGACTTGCTTTTATTCCACACTCTTGGTGAAACTGGTGGTAGGCCTCCCAGATCCAAGGAGACAGGGCAAAGGCGATTCTTCCTTGTAAGATGTATCAGAACTTTAGGCTATTGTAAAAGGAACACCCTTCCCACATTGTGATGGAATAACCTACTACACCTGTCCATTTTGATCTCCTCAAGTTCATTTTGTGACTTCAAAACTTGACAACATGGGTGTGAAAATTACTAGTAGTGCAGCCTTCAAAAAGTGATGCAATAAACTTATGCCTCATATGTGTTCTGTGGAAAATAGATCTGCAGTAATGCCTGCCTCATAGGATTGTAATGAGAAATAAAAAAGATAACCTCACACAGTGCTTGCTCTTTGCATTAGACACTCAGAACATGTGAACGATTATTTTTTGGTAGCAAATGTCAAGTAGACTCCAGTGGAAGGCTTCTGATGGAACAGTATGACAATGGTTTATTAAGTCCTATCTATGAGAAAAAAGTGTACACATGCTAAAATGTATTCCCAAGTCTTCTCACTATTCCTTAAGGCTGGTGCTCGCATGATTGCTCTGCAGACTAGAAAACTGAGCCTCAAAAACATCACTGGATACTTTCCCACCATACAATGGGAACCTGGAATTTATCAAGTGATTCATTAATGGTTTTTCGAAAATCCTTCCTCTAAGGGTCAACAAACTCTACCTCAGTGTTAATTTTTGTAAACAAACTTTTTTGGCATAGAGTTATACTTCTTTGTCTGTGCTGACTCTTCTTGGCAGTGTTGAATGACTGTGAAAGAAACTGAGTGGCCTACAAAGCTTGAAAGATTCGCCCTCTGAGTCTTTGTGGGAAAAGCTTTCTAACTCTCTCTCTCTCTTTGAAGTGTAAGGTGCCTAAGCAGGAACCTTAAGAATGATCAATAATGGCGGTGCACCATGGAAATCTGCAACAGAAGCAGTGATACCTACAGAAAGCTCCACCTTCTCTAGGCATTACAAGGACAGTTCCTACCCCTCATTTCCTGCCTCCAGAGATCTTTCCCAAGACAAGACAAAATACATGAACTGCACCCAGGTTTAAACATTAATTTTGGGATGTTTGCCAGACCAGATGGTGGGAAAGCTAAGTACCATTGATTTATATCTTGGCCTTTGTGAAGCAACATTAGAGACAATGGGCCTTATCAGAACAAATGAGAATGAACAGCAGAATACAGATCAGAGGAGAATTAAGAACAAATGCTATTAAATTCTATTATGCTATAATTAATTCCTGTGTGTAGAAAAAGCACCAATTATTAGCAAACTGTGAACCACATCAACCAACCTCTATCTGCTGGCAGCTGGGTAAGGAAGGCTCTGCCTGTCTCATGGATGCCATGTTCCTCATGTAGCATTGTGACCACAATTTTTAATATCTTGAGAATACTGTAGTGCAACTTCAATTAATCACCTATCAAACATTTAGTGCCATTAGAGGCTCAGGATGCAAAGACAGTAACACTTGATGCCAGTGATAATATTGCCACACAATGACCATTTCTACCTAGGGCTACAGCAGTGCTTATTATACTCACTAGGATCACAGAGCCTACTAATAGTATGATCAAAGATCCAAGTATTTTTTTTTTTTTAAATGTGGAACAGCAAAGCAAATATGATTGAAAAGTTTATAAGGCTTTTGACTGCCTGAATATCGCTCATGGAAGTCCACACAGGGATATAGTTCTTCAGAATCTCTGTGCCATGCCCAGGGAATAAGTGGAGGAATAAGTTGGTGCATGTGAACTTGCAGGTATACGAATGTTTACATATCATGTATGTCTTGGAAAAACTGTAAGCCTTCACAAAGAAGTTGTGTCTTAGCTTCTTCAGGAGATCAAGGTAGAAAAGTATTTTCAGGTTGAGAAGAATAGCTTATGTGAAAGTGATGGGATGTGATTTGACAGGGGAATTTAGGAAGGCAAGGCAGAGGCCTTTAAAGTAAAGGAATAAAACCTTGGATGGGGATCTGGCAAGAGATGAGATCAGAGTACATCATGCATTTCAGATGAGGGACAACACAGTGATTAAGGAGATGCCTACTACTGGTTGTCATCATTAATCATAGAATTCTTAAGAACACACATAGATGCTTACAGCAGGTTGTTAAATGCTTATTTATTTCTTCGATTTTTATTCATCTTTTACAACTTTAAGTGTATACCACTACACAAATACATTCACATGTATACTCATATATCATAGAACTTAATTCAAATTACTCTATCTTTGTTTTCTCTGTATGGGTATTTTATGTAATTGTGTTTATAAGTCAACACACCACATATATGCACTTGGTGCTTGTGTTGGATCCCCTTGAACTAGAATTACATAATTTATTAGATGCCATTTAGATAATAGTTACTGAACCCAGGTCCTTTGCAAGATCAGCAAATACCGTTAACCACTGATCAAGATCCACTTTTCCAGCTTCTTAATTTAATTTTGTAGTAGTCTTTTTGTTCATAGGCCCGAGACCCAGAGAGAAACAAGTTAGACCAAGCTCACACTCCACATGAGAACTGAGGACTGAGTATCCTGTCTTTGACTCCAGGTTTGATGTATTTCTTCTTGGGCCCACGGTACTAAAGTAGATACTTTATTTTTTTTTCTGAGCCTAACTGCTTATTTCTGGGTCACATGAAAATATTCCATTTTTTTCTTGGTTTTTCAAGACAGGGTTTCTCTGTGTAGCTTTGCACCTTTCCTGGGACTCACTTGGTAGCCCAGGCTGGCCTCGAACTCACAGAGATCCACCTGGCTCTGCCTCCCAAGTGCTGGGATTAAAGGTGTGCGCCACCACCACCCGGCTCCATATTATTAATTAAAATAGAATTTTATAAAGTCCATGAGTTTGGAGGCAATAGAGTTTGCTTTTCTCAATGTTCCTGTATTCTTCCCTACCCTTACTTCTGCTCTTATGATGGTAAAGGAAATGTTGGAGGAAAGATTGGACCTGAGGTTGATCCAAGAACAATGGACAGCTGGAAAGGATTAGAAAGGCTCAGACCTGCATGAGTAAGTGTTGCGAGTTCCCGCTCAACAGAGAGGCTGAGTTGTGGGTCAAATGACCATGCACCATACAGTAAGATGAATGATGCATTAGGAACTTCATTTGTCAAGCATCTCCAGGGGTCATAGGACTGTACAATGCCGTGGCTACACATGGGGAAGGCAATGCTGGCGGAGAGATGGAGAAAATCGGCACCTTTTGCAAACTGAGCTGCTTCAGTGTCAAATGTAGCTTGAAATTCTTTCATCCAGCTTCTTGACCTCTAACAGACTATTTATAAAAGGGTTTCCACACTCGAAACTTAATTAGTATATCTATTGCGAAATACATGTCAACTAAGGCCTGGACCCTGTGCTAGGGGGACAAGATGTAAAAAACAGTCCTGTGTTAATTCTGGCTGGGATAAGACTCAGAACACTAAGTCATGAGGGCTGAGGCATGACAGCAGGAGGTGATACCTCCATATCAGATGAGCTCCAGAGGTGTATTTAAAATCCAATGGGGAAGTAATAGCAGTGGTGACAAAGGATGTCAAAAGGGAGCAGGCTTCAGCAGGTAAAGGCTTGGTTCATACCTATCCTAAGGGCTTGCCCTGATCCTGATATGAAATTCATCGACTGTTGAAATAATTTGTGTCATTAACACAAAAAGGCTGACTGTTGCATAGATGTGTGCCTGCTCTGTGGAGGAGATGGCTCAGCATGCTCTCCCCAAGCCAGACATAGCTCTGCTTACATGGGGTTTCTCTGACCTCTGTGGCCTGCTTCCCTCAGCTCAGTCCAATTGCTCAACCTTGCATCATCTTGTTGGACCACAGCCAGTAACGAGGGGAGAGCTGGGAAGGCAGAATCTGTGAAGATCACCAGGGATCCTACAGAGGCTCTGAAAATTCCCCTTTGTGGAGAGAACGTGAAGACCTGGAGGCACCTTTGTCAGACATTATGGCCACAGGAGGAGAGAGAAATGAAATGCAAGTTTGAGTAGCATGACCATACTACAAAGCAGGGACATTTGAAACAGTGCTTTGTATTCTGGGCACTTTTTAGCATCTGGTAAGGCAATGACAAGCATGTCCACTAAAGCTTGCGAACGTTTGTTCTTGACATAACTCGGCATAAACTCCAGCAGAAAATACAGCTCCATTTTAAACAATTAAATATGCATGTGAGGGTTTGGTGTCACTGCTCACATTATGACTCATTCCAGTAAAACGTCACCTTAGAACTACGGCAAGATCCTTACAGCGAAGGGAAATTAGTTTAGAATACCAACTGATATTGTCTAATCTTATCTTATTGGACACAATTACTATCACACACCTCAGAGAAATATGAAGCAATTGCCCTTTTATCATGTTTCTCCGAAGGAGTGTCATTACTGTTCTGTGATTTACAAGCTGGACATTATTTTGGAAGTTCCTAATCTCTGAGTGACTGAGTAATTGCACTTAGAGAACAGAGATAATATCAGAATCTAGCTCACACAATTGTGTGAAATTAAATAGAATAATATATGTAAAGCACTCAGCAAAATGTTTATGGCATAGAAAGTGTTTGATAGTGCCTGCTATAACAATTTTCAGTATTTTCATTATTCATTTAAGTGTAGGGCTCTTCTGGTGTGTACAAATACACCAATTTTAAAGTGATAAGTGTATATTTAAGGGCAGAGTAAATTTTTTATTAGTAACTTTCATAGTTCTCTGCAGTGTCTAATTTGTACTAAAGTGTTTTGCATTCTACAAATTTCCTCAATAAAGAAATCACACATATGTGGAGTTTTCTGGAAAATTGTCTCAAAACTTAAGTCTCCAGGCATATTCATACTGAATTGTGACAACTCTGATGACGTCAATGCTTAAAACTTGTTGACAGTGATATTTGCCTCATATATTTTGTCTAAATCCTATATGCCAGATCTTTGAAGTTTTACAACTTGTTTATCAGAAACAGAGCTATGTCACACAGAGGAATTCGTAAACAACATCTGTAAACCCCAAACACATATTGGTTGTTGTTGTAGGACACTCTGCAAAGTGAATTGGGTGGATTCTCAAATTTTGTTGACAAGTGTTCAGAGATCAGGAGAAAGTGTTTTTTGAAATGAGGAAAAAAGACACATCATTGCCTCTGTGCCACAAATGCAGACTTACCTCTGCCAAAAGGCCAGCCAGTCATTGTGTTTGGATCTTTGTCCGTACTCTAATGACATAAATGGGAGTGTCTGGTTGAAAACTTTCCAGCCTTGACTGCATCATGCTCTGGATTCTTTAAACTTTTGTGTTAGGATAGTTTTCAGGCCCAGAAGTAATGAGAGTGAATTTTACATCAGTTTTCTAGAGGCTTCAAGTATTGTTTAGTAGGTTGAAGTCTCTAACTAATAAATAGGCAACTTTCTAGTATCTCCATAGAGAAACATAATGCCCTAATACTATTACAGCTTTCCCATTCTGCAAATTCTTCCCCCTTCCTTCCCATGACTTTAGGTTTTCCAGTAGCCATGTATTTCAGGCTCTGAAGGCAGGTTCTAAGACAGTATTCTCTATGTGCGATTTTAAGTGACACTGGAAAGGAAGAAGTGGGAGAGATTTGAATAGGAAATAGAAAACTCTGATGCAAGGGTGCATTACTAAGTTGATCAGAGAGTGTCAACCCTGTAGTTTTCTCAGAGAAGCCTTATTGTACGAGTTTCAGAACTCAGCAACAGAGATGAGAGTTTGTCCTTCAGTTTCTGTCTACAATTGATGTGGAAAACCCTACTGATATTTTCTCTTTTGCACTTCCGATTGATTTGTAGGTTCTTGCTAACTTCCCATGCAGACATATCAAAGCAAAGACAAAACAGACAGGAAGAAACTGAGGGATGTTTTTCCCAGGGCCAAGTTATATGTTATCAGGTTGCAACATTGGAAATTATATCAAAATCTTCAAAGAACTGTAGCATCTTGGAACACGAGAAGGAGAACATTTGAGGTAAAGTCCATCACTACATCACCTTTGCCCAAAGTTCAGCCCTGTCACCTCTCAGTTTCTTTCCATCTCATCACATAGCCCTCTTCAAGACAGTTCCTGAGTTTGGAAGCTTAGGATAAAAGAGAGCGAGTTGAATGAGCTCTAGTCCTTGATGCTATAAACATTCCTCCACCCATCACCTGTTTTATATTATTCCTGTACTTGGTCACTACCTGACTGAATTGGGGAAGTGACCACAGCACTTTACCACTAGAAGTTTGGAGCCCTCGGTGCCCTTGACATTTATGGGTTGTAATTGCTACAGATGTTTATTCTGCTGTCTCTGAATATCGAAGAAGCATTGCAGGGAACCCCAGTGTCTCTCTATCCCTAATGTATTTCTCCCAGACCCTAATATGTAACAAATCCAACTAATAAACCAAGGCCAAATATTGCCAGCTAATCCTTCACTTACTGATCTTTTTGCACTTTGATAGGCATTATGTCAACTTCAAAAAACATTAGAACCCTTCCTTTCCTGATGGAAAGAGCTCAGGAAACAGAACTTGCTTTTCCTTTTTCTTTTTTTAATTCTTTTATGGTTTTATTTTTCATATTCTTTTAAAATTAAAATTTAAGTTCAGCATACAAAACAATGGTTTCATTATGAGTTTTCATGTACATATTTCAATTCTATGGTGACCTTTTACTGCTCACATCTGAACCCAATCTTCTCGAATCCTTCCTCTCTTTCACCAGCATGCTTCATTCTTCCAAGTTGCATTTCCTCTATCAGAACTTCTAAGGAGACCATCTTTGACAGTATACTGTCTTAAGATGAGTCACTAGTAGTGATGGTGATAAAAACGCCACTCTTCCAAGGCCTCCATATTCTTTTTACTGTGGTCCCAGAACCAGGAACAGGATATTGATTTCAAAGGCAGACCTCATTCTAGAGAACTGGGCCCCAACTTTCCAAGCCATTGAATAGGTAATTTTACAGTTTAATAAAGATAACTGCTTCTAGATGATGAGGTGTGTGTTAAGTCCAAAGTGGACTCTGTGGGTGGCATCTATTCTGATACTGCCTTTGTTGTTGAATTGGTGTGTTAGAGTGAGGCAGCATTTAAAATAATACTCTATCATAGGGTCAAGCACTAGTTACCTAAGATTAATCCCAGAAAAGCTCCTAGGTTTGAAAGGAAACTCTGGCTTCAGTTCTGCTGAGGACCACAACACGTAAAAGGGGTTCAACATAACAGAACTCAGACGTGTCATATTACCACTAGAGATAGGCTATTCTGTGGTGGCAGTGGCTGGATTATTCTTGGTGAGATAAAGTCTGTGATTTTTGGTCCATTCATGGTCCCTATCCACAAGAAAAAGGCCACCTTATTCATAACTCACTTTGTCAGCATCGTCTTGGCTGAGTAACTAAGATGACTGATCTCCACAAGGATGGGTCCTCGTGTCCATTTGGTTTTGAAGGCCTCCTGTGGTGGGGACCTTTCAATGGACACTGATGTTGGGCACATGTACATGTTGGAATCCTGTGCCTACTTTCATTATTTCATTATTCACTTACTATACTTCTGACCTTTACTTGTTGTTCTTTCAGGAACAGGTGTCAGTGTCTGAATTGCTAACAGAAAGTTGAACCTTCACACCCCTCCCATGTGTCAGCTTTGGATGAGCTGTTTGACATCCTGTCCATCTGTGGTTATAAAAACAGCAGCTCATCCTTCCATCTGAAAGAAAACACTGCAGGGGCCCTCAACATGAACCCCCCCCCCAGCTAAGCATCTCCCTAGTTCTGAACTCCATAAACAGATGGATGTATACTGCTCACCTCTATAGTTTTGGGTTAATTCGTTAAGGAGCAACAACTGGAGCCAGTTACCACATACTAGGAGCTCTATTTTCTGCATTATTACACTCAACTCCCTTGTCCAAGAACAACACAAAGTGCTATTTTCATTTCAGAGACGAGGAAGTGATGGTCTGCTAAGTTACCAATGCCACACAGGTAAGAACACAAGCATTGCAATGTAAAGCCAGGGCTGCTTAGCCAGCTAGAGTCTGGGAGATCAGCTACTCAAACTTTTCAAGTCCTGCCCACTCTTCGTGGACAAAACAAATTGGTGGTGTGTGTGATATTAACTGACTGATACTAACTGATTTAGAGAGACTCACATTTGAACAAAGGAGTTAAAGCACTTTCTAGAGTTCAGCCTGTGCTGGCTAGAAATGAAAAAAAAAAATGGCTGAGAGGTCCCTAGTGAGAAACAAACTTAACTATTACCATATGAATGTTGTTGCCTGAGCAGCATTGATGCCAAATTGCTGAGCAAAAGGTATTGGAAATAATTTGTAACAACTTTTATAAAGATGTTTTGGCACAAAAATGAGGAACAATTTTGTTTTGAAATACTGAAAGCCTGAATGAAAACATAATTAGTATCTGTAAAAAAAATAAGCAATTGTAGCACTTTGCTCTGAATGACCTTTGATGAAATTCAGTTTTTGAATATGCCATTACCCATTTAACCTAACATTAACAAGAAAGAAATGGCTTTCTTTGCTTTTCATACATGTTTAGATGTACTGTCAAAACAGAAATAACTGATAAACTATTGTATCAGATGCCAAGGATGACCAAGAACTTGAGTATGTCTGTTCACACATGACTAAAATATTGTTTTTTCTAATTGTATATATGGTTTATAACTTACTTTTTTGGCAACTAAAAACAGTCTCCACTTTATGCTGTTCTCTTACAAGTTTTTAACCTATAAACTCTAAATACTGGAAAAAAATTTTATCCCTGGTTATGCCTTTACCTCTCTGATTATTCTTACATCTTTTTCAGGGGTTCTTTGCTTCATCCCTTTATAATATTTCTCATTTATGGAGTAAGTTCAATGTTTAGGATACATTTATTATGAATTGATGTTTTTCTATATGGTTTTCAAATACTAGTGTGTGTATGAATCTTCCAGACAATGCACAATAAAATCAAACTCCTGGGCCAGGCTACCAAGTAGAACCAGGGAAGACTATTCTGGATGCCATCTGACTCTCATATTTGGACACACTGTCATGGACATTATATGAGCAATTTTTTGGGTTGACATTAGACTGTAAAACACAGTTTACTATGAATTGATAAATGTACCTATCTCATCTACATTAGTTTATTAAAAATGTGCTATACTTTAAAGAAGTATTATTCAAAATAAAACTCTGGAAGTACCTAGGAAATGAGCCCATGGCCTACAACATGAGAAAATACTTAAGAAAATCAACTAAAATTTGGCAAGCTCTATGAGCTTCATAGCATCTGACCTCAGACTTATACCTCTTTTGCTCTCCCATTTCACTCGATACAAACTCTACTCTCGACTTGTGCATCCAAGAACACAGAGCTCCTTTTCTTCACAACTAAGCTCAGATTTATTACCTAGGTCAGGCCAGGGCTCAGCTCTTCTCAAGTTGAACCCACTTCCTGTGTAAGGACTGAGTTCTTTCTGAGTAAGAATCACTGAGGAAAGAGATCGCTCTTCCCACAAAGCCTTCTCCACAAAACAAAGGCTGTGTTCTCTTGGGTATGCCATTGTTGAAAACAGTGGGCCTACTCTTCTCTTAGAGATTCCAGAGTGGGAGGTAAACTAAGAAGATGGTCATCCCAATATATTAGATACCCTCAGGGGGTGGATACTGTTGTCATTTCCCAGCTTAAGATTTCTGTGGTGGACAGGGTGAGATATTAGGTTCTGAAAGAGAACTCTGAGTTTATTCTAAAAAAGTGTTTTCACTGACAGTAGACTATGGAAGAATTCACGTCTAACAGACCATGATAACAATCAATCTTTCGGAACACCGGGAGACTAGTAGATTTACTGAGGATGTGGACTCAACTGTTGATTGACTGATTCGTCAGAGTGAGCTAGAAAGAGGCAGCTGGATGGAGCCCTCTTTGACTTGTATGAATGAACACATTTCAAATGCTGACCTGAGGACACCTTCAGAGGTGCCTGGATCAGATTAGATCAGCCTATGTAGTCATCCAGAGCCTTGCACATTGTTGAAAATAATATCATCTGACAATTGTTGGAGCCCAACAACTGGGTGTGGCCTGGGAAAGAGGCAAAAGATATCTGCCAAAAGTATTGTCATCTCTGTGTAGTTGTGGGTTATTCAAGGTTGTGTCCTCGGATAAACAGCATCAAAAGTTTCCCAGTGAATGGGTAGAAACAAAGCATATGATAAACCCACTAAAATAATTCAGTAAGTCACAGAAAGTGTAAACAGCAGTCATAACAACAAGTGTGGGGAGGGATGAACAAGTATCCAGATCTTTCTATAGTATCCTCCTTAGAAAGTGATTTCAAATGAAATGTTACGAACCATGAAAGTAACAAATGCACGTGATCCCAGGAACACACAGGAGAGCATGCTTGTGTAAATCACAGCTGAGGTCTGACATGAAGGTAAATTTACAGAGACTATGAAATCTGAAGAACATAGACAAAAGTTTTAAAACAATTTTTAAAGAAGCAATTCTAAAAAAACAATCTCCAAGTTTATGTGGAAACGCAAGTCTGTGAGTCTAGGAATCTCAGGATGAACTCCAAGGAGGGTGAGCAAAGCTACCGAGCAGCCAAAGAGCCCAGAGCCTGAAAGCAAGGTATTGAAAGAGAAAATGACTCAGCATCTAGGAGGAACTTTAGGCAAAGGAAAGGTAAATTCTCCTCAGAAACAATGGAAGCCAGGAGGAAGTGCCTGGAAGCTGGTGGTAGGTGGTAATACAAGCCAAGTTTCTGGTGAAAAACAAAAACAAAAACAAACAGTCTACCCCAAATTTTACCCACAGAAAATCCATCCTTCACAGTTGAAAACAGGAAAAATACATGAAACATAACAAAGAGTAAAATACTTAGCTGTTTGAAGACATGTTTTGCAAAGCTACAAAAAGCATATGCTCTTTGGATTTGCTCTCCAAAGAACAATTATGAAGGCAGTTGTGGAATTTTAAGTGTGTAAATGCTTCCTCCTTTGCCTGCTTAAGAGCAAGTGTATAAAATAAAAGGCTACATGTATAGTTAATATATAAGAATGTGGGTTCTTTGCCAATATTGGCAGAGGAGGTTGAGTGTGAGTATAGGTCAACTGGTTTGTGGAAATTATTCCAGGGAGTAACGCAAATCCACAGAAATGAAGAGAGACTCAGAACTGACAAGACATTTGCTATGACAGAAGTTGTATATGTCCTTTGCTTTGTTTAATGACTCCTTGAAACAAATAAAATTATACAATGTAATGCTTATAACCATTAAGTACTGAATCTGTAACAGAGACTTTGTGTTCCGCAGTGTTACCAAAGAGGAGAGAGGGGAGTATTCAGAGACACAGCTCCATATTCAGAGACATAGCTCATGGCAATGAAGTCGGTATAAATTTGAAACTAGTTCTGATAAATTGTGACATACATATTAACTCTAGATTGAAAGATAAAAATATGCTAAAATAAAACAAGGAAAAACATAAAATGCAACAATCACACATACCCAAAACAAACAAACAAACAAAGCACCTGTAGTGAGTGCAGTAACATTAGACAAAGTAGATTTTACTACCTGGAATAATTTCCAAAGACCAACTGACCTATAATCACACTCAACCTCCTCTGCTGTGTAAGCTCACAGATTCTTAGAAGACAACCCTTTATGTGGGAGCTGTAATAGACACTGTCAGTTCAAAGCCTTCTTCCCTCAAATTCTGTACTATATTCCTATGTGCAAGTTCCCAGACAACTTTCATTTGGAATATGCAGCTCCTGCATGGGAAGATGCCTCATCTCCCTCTCTCTCACAGGCACAGAACACAGAGGAGTTTGCTCCTCTGTGTTCATCACTATGATGTGAACAGTGTGTTTGCAGAGGTCTGGTCAGAGGTGCATGAATATCTCGGACGTTTTATCCTTGTCTTAAGATCATGAGGAAGCAACCCACACTGTCTTAAGAGCTCCTTTATGGGACTTTGGGATGTTTTAAGTTGTACCTTCATGGTAACACTTAACATGAGATCTGTAGTCAACTACTTGGCTTTATGAAATTTATTTCTGTTGCTATCTTAGTGTTCCCATATAAAAATGAAAGAGACTGCATGACTATTCTTTTGTTCTTTTTGCAACTAACATTATATAGATAACTTTTTCAAAACTAATTTTGTTAGTTCTTTGAGAATTTAGTACAATGTGGTTTTTATCATATTCCCCTCTCTCCCAAACCTTCTCAAATCACCCACCCCCTTTCTTATCCATCCAATTTTGAGTCCTCTTTAAAAATAAACAATCAAATTCAATTTGTGCTGCCTATATATTCTTTATAGTCTCAGATATGTGGCCTTCCACTGAGTGAGGTCAATTTACCAGGGACCACAGTTTCAAGGAACTCAAGGAAAGTGCTCTCTCTCTCTCTCTCTCTCTCTCTCTCTCTCTCTCTCTCTCTCTCTCTCTCTCTCTCTCTCTCTCTCTCTCTCTCTCTCTAAGGCTTAATTTACAATATCTCCTTGCCAAGGGGTGGAACTTCATGCCCACTTCCTTCTGTTATGGGATTTTGTTCATTTTGAGCTTGCACAAATCTTGGACATGCTGTAGACCAGAGGTCTAACAAGGGTTAAAACCTATCATTGTGAAAATTAATCACCAGCCTGAAACTGGAGTGTTTCACCACTGTACTCTTAGGGAGAACTGCTTCTTTGCATGTTTAGTTTCTATAGGTACCTATGCTGATTGCTTCATGATCATTTTCTCCATCTTCAAAGCCTTTTATAACTCTCACTAATTCTTCAGGTCTTCCGACCCTGTGATGAGTCTGGGCCTTCATGGATAACACAGGATACTTTATGTTCAATTGAGTTGGTCATTAATTCTATCTGCAACATCAACTCTCCTTTGCCCAGAAACGAAATAGCCACAAGTTCTATAGATTAGGACATAGGTATAGGAGCTTCATAATTCTATCAATAGCAGATGGCAAGCCCTGAGTACAAAAGGTGATATTAACAGAACTCAAATTGTTTTCTCTCATCAGGCTTTATTAAACTTTATGCCAAGTATTAGTTTCTGCCTTTTTAAGGGAACTTGAGGCCTAGAAAAGGTCACATCAAGAGAAGGTGCATCTGTTTCCAACTTGTTCTAGTCTGTTTCACAGTCCATCTTGCTTCTGTTAATTATTTGTGTCTTTGACTAATTAAATCAGAGTTTAATATAATCTGTGAATATCTGGGGAAGGTGTGGATTTTTTTTTTTTTTTTTTTTTTTTTGCCAATCCACAATCAACACAAAACAATGTGGGTTTTAAGAGGCAACAGTATTCCAACTTGGCAATGAAGAATACGAAGTGTGAAGAGCATGCTTTGCTGTGTACTTCTCCTTGCACCCCAGTGTTCAAAAGGAGACTCCTGGCTGTTTAGGGACATACTGCCATCAAAACTCAGGTACAATAAGGATTAGATTACATTGTTTCTAAGATACTTTGTGCAGTTTGTTTTACTATCAGACAATTTCTCACAGTAAAGACAAAATTGACCTGGAGACTTTTATTTTAATGTAACTGAAGCAATCCCATACCAGTGTGGCAGAGACAGCAGAGTCCACATGTGCATCAGAAGTTGCTCATGTCCTGACCAATGAAATAATGACAAAGCACACCAGGGAAGGCTGGGATCCTGTTGCATGAAGGAAGAAGCTTGTGTCTAGGGAATCTGGAACAAATTCTCTCTGTGGGCTCCCATTTGAGATGCACCAAGCCAGCAATTAAGAATTTTGAAACTAGAAGATAGATGTTCAAATGTGCTTATGTTATTTTTTTTTTCAGAACCAAAAAAGGAGACGCTAAAATTGTTTGTCATGAGTAAACCGTTGCTGAGAAACTAAGAAAGGTATTTCCAGACTAGGAAGCCAGCTGACGCTGCAAACCTTGGGGCTGCTAGCCAAGCCTGCACACTCCATTTGCCATGGGGCCTGTGCAGCGGAGAATTTCTTCTAAATTTATCTGCTGCGTGTGTTTCTGTACTGGAATTATAAACAGTATGAGTTAGGTACATGAAATTGCTACATGTGTTGCTTCCTTTATATTTGTTGGAAGAAACTTGGTTTATTATCAGCTTCACTCCCAAGCGTAGGTAAAGTCAGACACCATCCAATCCTTGCCTTGGGGGCCTTCTGCCTTTCTGTATGTACAAACCCCGGCTCATAAACCTTTTCATCCATGACACTTCACTGCTTAAGAAATTTTTATGTGATCCTAGGCATATATGTACACAAATCAAACATTTGCTATTAATAGATCATAAAGAAGTTTAGTTTAAAACAATCCTTCACTGTTCTTATAAGTTTGTCATTTATTAAAGATAAAAGTAAATTTTTGCTCTACGGAGATGGGTATGTGTATTTTATTTAACATAAAAATTTAAATCTTGGCTGGATATTTGATACTACAGGAGGTAGAACTTGAATGAAATCTTGATTTTTAATCACCAATCCTAGAATGATGCTTTTCATAAATACATAGTATGAAGTTGCTAAAGGATCTTCAGAAATGGTTGGAAATTCTATTGGAAATTCACACCAAAATTCAATTGATTTTTAAAAATGAAACTCAAGTCACCAATTCCAAAGGCAATTTTTAAAGTCAGTGAAATATTCTAAGACAACACAAATAAAAGCACCTTTAATTTGGTATTTGCAAATTAAAAAAAAAACAAAAACAAAAAAAACGACGGTAGGAAATTACTAAAAGATTGTCTTTTCTTTAGTTTGACCATTATGTTTCCATAAGAACAGAAAACTCTTTAGATACAATGAAAACATTGTAGTTTATATGGCATCAATAATCCAAAATCTAACCTACACTGTTTCAGGCAGCATTCACTGGTGTTGCATTGGGTGAGAGCGAGCATACAAGGTGCTCAGAACGTGTGGTATGTCCAGAACCAAGACTGCAGTGAAGTCACGCTATGCAGCATAAGCAACCACTGCCAGAAACACCTTGGATTCATTATTCATTTGATTTTGGATTTAACTTTCGTCATTATATATTCAGAAAACTTTGTTTCTAATTCTATTCCAACACGGCATTGAGTTGCAGGATGCTATGCGGGGTTATGACCCACAGTGTCAAACTGTACTCAACACTGCCAAACACAGTACTCAGTACCTATTACATGTTACAAACCATACGATAAAGATACTGAAAACAAATGTGGCCGTGCTTCTGCAATGTCTTGTGAACAATGCCACTGAACTCAGGAAATAAAATCACATGAGTTACTGATACTTTAATGTGGCTAGAGTTTTCCTGCCTGGCCCACAGTCAGGACAAAATCTCTGTCACCCGCCAGTCCCACAGTTGCTCAGACCCAACCAAGTAAACACAGTCTTATATTGCTTACAAACTGTATGGCCGTGGCAGGCTTCTTGCTAACTGTTCTTATAGCTTAAATTAATCTATTTCCATAAATCTATACCTAGCCACGTGGCTCGTGGCTTACCAGCATCTTCACATGCTGCTTGTCCTGGCTGCGGCTGGCAGTGACTTCTTCTGCCTTCCTGTTCTTTCTTTTCTCCTCTCTGTTAGTCCCGCCTATACTTCCTGCCTAGCCACTGGCCAATCAGTATTTTATTTATTGACCAATCAGAGCAACACATTTGCCATACAGAACATCCCACAGCACTTTATAGTTTTTCATTAATGTAGAAACAGCAGTTTCTTACAGTTCAACTGAATAAACGATTAGTTGGTGGTTCACTCATTTTTCTTCCCTTCAAATATCATAGCCATGATAAATTACAATTTATTAGTCTTTTATTAAAGGTTAGGTATCAATTTAATGCTTTTAAATATTTTTCTATTTGGTCCTTAAAACAACAAAATCGGAGGGTAAAGTGTTCTCCAGAGTCTCTAACCCTGGGGAATGTTTCTATACGTTATGCTTGTTGGAAAAGTACTTTTTTAAAAAAAATTTATTCTCATTTATATCATGATATTTAGCATTACATCTAAGAAAAGGGAACTATTGAAGTGGAGGATGGGAAGGTGGAAGTATAAGGAGTCTATGATTTGAAGTATGAACAGATTTGTAGTGACACCTTCTTTGCTTCTGGATAGCATCCGGAGGGGTCCAGCTGTAAGCACAAACCAGCAGTGTGTGAGTGGAAAAAATACCTCTGAGAAACAGCCAGCCGAGAAACGGGCCTTTAGTTTGAATGAGCAAGGCAAAAACTATGCCAACAGCTCATGGGCCTTGCAGAAGACCGTCAGCCAGAGATAAAAGCCATGGATACAGAGAATGGATTTTAGCATTCTCAGAATCTGAGCAGAGAATGTCATCATGACCGGCTCCTTAAACAGTGTATCACTCAGTAGCTAGTACTGATTGTCACGTCCCACACGCTGAAGAGAACGGACGGACTGCAGACTACAGAGCCGTGAAGGTGCTTTCGCAATGTTTTGTGAACTACCTTTCTAATTTCTTAGTTACTTCCTTTCAGCCCCTGGGTTATTTCATCTGCGGGTACTGGAAATATTATTTGGAATTTTCTTCTTGGGACTGGAGATTAAACGCCTTGGCATGTTATGTATGCATTCTTACCACATCTAACTTTGTGTTTAAGTCCCTAAATGTGTGGTTACCCAGAAATTTAAAAAAAAAGCATAAACTTCTGACATTCCTTTATTTCATTGTACAAATGAGGAAACCAAAAAAGTTTTAAGGAAAAAAAATGGCTCTAATGTGTCCTAGTCTTAGCAACAAAGAGAGAATTAGGAGAGTAAGTTAGAACTAGAAGATAAGACTTTCTCCAAAACGTTTGTAAATTGTCCTTTAAGTGAGAGGACACTGAATAGCTAAAAGGAAGAGCCTTTGACAATGGATTTATTAAATGTTTTGTGGAGAATTGTAAACAACCTCCATGTAATTAATTTGGATGTGATCAAAGTGTACTTGGCAAGAAACTATGCTGTGCTTCTTTTTAAAGACAGAAAATCGAACTGTCTCTTTGAAGAGAGAGCTGCATGTGTGGCTTACAGCAGGCACCTGAGTCATTTGGTCCTTTCTGAGAAAGCAGAGCGCTGAGCCCAGCAATCGATAAACTGTCGCTGTGAGATGCAGAATTCTGTTCACAGGTACACAGCTGTGTTTCCTATAGATATCCAGGAAAAAATAAAGGAAACAGATAGCAAGAAAGCTAAACCTTACACTAAACATGTGTATGTGTGTACACCCTATCTCCCCTCACACACACCAGTATATATTCTGAACCCTACAGAATTTGGTTAGAATTTTATCTTATCTTCTTTCTATTAGTTTATTTCATTCTTTCATTCTTTCTGGCATGTGATAGTCACATGTTCAGACATTCTGATGTGACAAAACATCATGACCAAAAGCAAGTTGGAGAGGAAAGGGGCTTGTGGTAGTTCACAACTCTTACTCAAGTCCCAGTCCTTCACTGAGGGAAGTCAGGACAGGATCTCAAGGCAGGATCCCAGAGGCAGGAACTGAAGCAGAAGTCATGGATGAGTGCTGCTCGCTGACATGTTCCTCTTGGCTTGCTCAGCCTTCTTTCTTATATCATTCAAGACCATGGCTTAAGAGTAACCTTCCAGCATCAATCTTTAATCTCAGTTCATGCTCTCTCTTCCCAGATGACCCTAGATTATATAGGTTGCCAGCACATCACTTTTCACATGTATTGTGAAATGAAAAAAATTGTGAGGCTTTTAATTATATAGAGAAATACTTCATTTGAAACATCTCATTTATGATTACCTAAAATTATCTGTGATTCATTTTTTTTTAATTTTTCTTGTTAGTTTTGGTCTACCATCATCTTAGATTTAAAAAATTCTGAAGTAATTTTGGATTTTATCCAATAGAATTTTGAGATTGCTCACTGGAGAAGTCATAAAGCTCTGGTGATTTCATGACAGGAATATTTTAATAATGAGTTGAAATTCCAATCATTTTATGAGCACCAAGGTTATTTTTATGTCAACATTGGTCACAGGAATCTGATCATCTTAACAGTACTCTCATATTTGTTAATATACAATGTTTTCATCATAAAGGAAGAGAGTTAGGAGAGTAAGTTAGAACTAAAAGATAAGACTTATGGAAAAATCAAATACATTTAAAAAAGAAAACTATATTGAAAAAGGAGTAACAACAAAATATAACATTTGTATTTTCAAAATAAAAAAAATGGTAGACAAGAAAGAGGAAATAATACAAAGTGATACTTAAAGAGATCATCTAGTAGTCTCACATTGATGATGACAGAATATCAGTACTGGATTTAGTCCTCTGACATATAATAATCCTAGAAAAGATGATTTTAAAGGCATAACATTTCCTTTGGTTTCTTAGGAGTGACCCCTCAAGAGCTCAGGGAGCTGGAAGAAAGTATATCCTTAATAATACCGCTACTTATTGTCCTTGGGATTTTAAAATGATGCTACTTTTTAGTTCTATCAGCATAGAGAATCTAAATAAGCAAAATTTTACATTCTTGAGAAATCAGTAGAAGTTATTCAGGACAATGTAGTTTTCTTTTTTAAAGGTAATTGATTTTTCCATAATATTTGTTTAAAAGTTTACTGATCTGAACACTTCATTCATCTCTTAATTTTGCATAATTTTCTGTTGGAAGCTTTGCAGGTTTTGTTGGTTTTGTTATGAGAAATAAAACAATAACTGTCTTGCATCATGTGCCTTTCATCTGTATTGACCAGTGTTCCAATGTGAATCTATCCTACACCACATAAGAATTCTAAGTGGATTCCACTATCCTTAATACTTTCAGGGAAGCTTGTTGAATCATTTGGACAAAAGTGGTGCCATTGAAATGAGCCAGCCCTCTTGAGCTTTATCACCCTTGCAGAGACAATGACCATCTTTGTGGCTGCCGATGTTAGTCTTCAACATGCTTATTGAAGACAGTTTCAATCACAGTCCTCTTGTCAGCTATCATATGTTCTTGCCCTTGCTCCCATTTAGCCCTCTAGGGTCTCCTCAGGCATCATGATGTTGGTCCAAGCACTTCTCAGAGAAAGTTTCTTCCCCAGCTCTCCTCCACTTCGAATTCTACTATCCAAAGTTTTCATCAGAATCTTAACAATTTTCTTATGTAACAATTATAGCTCTAGTCCTCGAATCTCTTAGCTATATATTGTGGTGATATTTTACTTGTATGTTAATAAATAAAGTTTGCCTGGAGATCAGGGGACATATAGCTAGCCAGCCATAAACAAAAGTCAGGTGGTAGTAGCACACACCCTTAGTCCAATCACATGGCAAGCAGAGTCTCTGTATGTTCAAGGACACAGCCAAGTGTAGTGACACATGCTTTTAATCCCAGTACCAACCATAGAGACTTGGAGGTCTGTGCAGACAAGCAGTGACAAGGAAGTGAGGTGGCTGGGCTTAGAGCCAATGAGAGAGCAGAACAGCAAGGCAATAAAGGCATGGGTAGACAGGAAGAAGTTGGTTTGGTTCTCTCAGGGGGAAGCTACGATGGAGGTGTGGTGAGCTAAGGTTAGTTGGTTGCTATTCCTATTTTTCCATGGCTGTCACCCCTGTATTTGGCTTTGTGTTTCTTATTTAATAAGACTGTTTAGAAATTTGTCTACAATATATGGGTAGGTCATTTAAGGCAGTGCTCCCAAACTTTAAGAAAAGTATTTGTGAATCTGGAGTGATAGCTCAGCAATTAAGAGCACTGTCTGCTCTTCCAGAAGACCAGAGTCTGATTTCCAGCACCCACATGGTGGCTTCCAACTGTCTGTAGTTCCAGTTACAGGGGATCTGATGCCCTCTTCTGACCTCTGTGGGCACCACACACGCATGCAGTACACAAGCATACATGTAGGCAGAACACAAATAAATAAACAAACAAAAAGTACAAAAATGGTAAAATCTCATCTATAATTCCGTGTAGATTTAACAATAATTCATAGCTATACTTTGAGTGTTTGGGTTTCAGATGTTCTGTTTTTGTTTTTGTTTTGTTTTTTATGTAGTGATATAACTTTCTACCAGTTTTAAATAAAAGAAATGAAAACATTTTTTTTCCTCAAATGTTAACCTGGAGTACAAATCATACTTTTGAAGTTCCTGTTTCATTTTTATCTTTTACACAAAGCTGATGAAAATAGGATGTCTGAGACTTATAGTTCCTGTTTTGCTCCTCAGGATTTCTTCACTCCTACACTATGCTTTTTAATGTAATTCAAACAAACTTTTCTACTTATGCAATACTTGTTAAAGAAGAAAGCTGTGTGTAGATTAATCTTAGGGTCTTAATATTAAGTAGGCCTGGGTTAGAGTGCTGTGCCATATATATATATATATATATATATATATATATATATATATATATTGCACACACACATATATGTGTATATATATATGCATGTGTATATGTGTGTGTGTATATATACTATATAATAATTCAGAATTTTGCTATTGTTCTCTAAATCTGAATTTCCATTTCTGTATATTATTGATTAAAAAATACCACTTAATAAACCTGTAAGAAGGATTAAATGGAATAGCATTGGGAGAACAATTGCTCCATCATTACTGTAGTGTAGGCAATAGCAATCAGGTTATATTTAGACAAAAATATTTGGTTAAATGAGTTTGTTTATTAATTGTCATAAAATTTCCTTGCAGAATTCCATTCTTCAGCATCCTTGAGTGAAAAGATATGTGTAAGTTCCAGCCTCATAAATAAAATTACTTCGCCTGAAAAACAGAAAAATGAGAACATTTTGCTCCTATTGCTAAGTCCTTGCTGTCTGAGGGTTGGGCTGACTGGGTGAATATTTTGCTCAAGGAAGTTTATGCCAGCTGGTGGCATGTTATCTTTTGTCTTGTCTACACCCTGACCTTTCAGCTTTATAACTTCCAAATGTTTATGTAATGAGAACTGCCCTTTTAAAATTGACACAGTGATTAAAATTGAGAATGAGAGCTGAGACTGTTCTCTAATAAATAGGCTGAATCTGAGCATACATCTGTCCAGCAAAAAACTCTCCTAAGCAATCAGGCACACATTGCATTGCTTGTATTGAGAAAGTGAAGGTGACATTTATACCATTTGATATTTTTTTTCTCCATCTGTTTGTTCAATGGTGAGATTTAAGCTGGCAAATGTTATACTTGCATTGATCCTACATTCAGGCTATATTTCCAACATGTAGCTTTTAGATGGATGCATCCAAGGACTTGCTGACACATGGTAATTCAGATTATGAGAAAATTTCCCTTCATGATAAGATCTGAGATCAAAGCAGGGCCCACCCTACTCCAGATGTACATGTTCCTGACAGATCTGCTGGTTTAATCAAAGTCAGTACGGCAGGTTTTTTTTCTTAAAGCATGTAACTTTCTTCTCACTTATATAGAAGCTGGTTGCAAACACCTTTCTAGATGACTAAAAGGAGAAGAAAGAAATCTCCCAGGCATAATGAAATGCTCACAGTACCTAAACTTTATACTTTTCAGTGAACACAAACTCACAGGAAATATTTAATAGCAACAAAATAATCTTATTCAAAAATGAGCAAAATGGGGGCTAGAGAGACACCTCAGCAGTTAAGATCACCTGCTGCTCTTCAGAGCACCTGAGTTTGTTTCTTAACCTCCATATTAGGCAGTTTACAACCATTTCTAATTCTAGCTCCAGGGGAAATTAGACCCTCATCTGGCTTCTATGGGCACCTGTACACATGTGGCACACACATGCTAGTGTGTACACATGCACACACACACACACACACACACACACACACACACACACACCCTATAAATTGAATAGTCCTTGAAAATGATCAAAATGAAGTCACAGACAGGAGCAGCAACTATTTAAACTTTTCTCTTTATTCTGCTTTTATTTTGGTCCCAGTGACTCTTTTGTTCCTCAAACTTTCCAAATCAATTCTTTTTTTTTCTTTTTATAGTTTCCAAGTCCTTTTCAGTAGTTGGTTTCTCTCCATTTCATATTCATTCTCCATATTTTGTATGACAGTTTCATGCATTGCATTTCAATTAGACCAAAAGTCACAGGCTTCCTGTTCCTCTGGCTCTTACAGTCTGCTCCTCAAAATGGTTATCCAATACCAAGTAGCCAACCCCTGAAATCACATACAAATAGACTGGCTATGTTCTATATATACAATAACAATTAAAGGAAAAGAGAACATGAATTTGGGAGAGAGTGCAAAAGGTAGTTCATGGCAGGGGTTAGAGGGAGGAAAGGGGGAAATGATGTAATTATATTTTAATTTAAAAGACCAAAGCATTATTAAGAACCAACAACATGAAAAAACACTGGAATTTTCAAGCAATGATACTCATAGCTCCACATTGGTATCTCCGAAAATAATAGAAAAGTCTCATGCATACATAAATGAGTCTAATTATCAAAAAGCAATTCCTGTTGCATGTGTTTTATGAAAAAAAAAAAGCAAACTCCTAACATTTGAGGAATTGGGAGAAACCTCCAGACTTCCCACTTTTCTGGTGTCTAGAACTACACAGGGATTCCGCCAAGTGGCTGATAGTGCCAAGATTCTACACCCAAAGGCCTCCATTAGCAGGAATGAGAGTTGTCCAGCTCTATCTACCTCCAGACAATTGTTCTGTCTGTATACGTGTGTCTTCCTATGTGTACAGAAATACCTATGGACATGTATGTGTATGCACATTCATGTGGAGACCTGATGTCAAACTTGAGTGCTGTTTCCCAGGCACCATTCACCTTGTTTTTGGGACAGGGCCTCTCCCTGGCTTGGCACTGAACAAATAGGCTAGGTTGGCTGGCTAGAGAGTCCCAGGGCTCCTCCCTCTCCTTCAACCCAGCACTGGGACACCAACTACATTCCATCAAGCCTTCACTTGTCATAGGGGTTTCAGGGGCTGTCCTCAGGTTCTTGTGCACATAATGCAAACACTTCGCCAACTGAACCACCTCTACAGCCTTTCAGACCATTTCACTATAGGAAAGAGTGTCGTACATCAAATGGTTAAGTACTGTTGAGGTATGCTGAAATTTATATTCCATTGATATTCCATAGTACATACTGGACAAATATAGTTTGTTCCAAATTATCCAAAACATTTTCCTTTAAATGGTTCTTTTGTGAAAGCAAGAATAGTAAATTGATAATAAAAACTCAAATGGGAGCAGACAATTTCAAGTTGTTCTGTGTCTTCCATACATGTGCAACGTCATGTAGACACACACATTCACACATGCACACAAAATAGAAACATAAATATTAACAAAAGTTTAAACCATGTATTTGCACTTACTACCTTTTCTTCATATAAATTCTTTCTGCAAAAGAAAAAGTCCCCATCTATTCTGGGGGTTTTTTGTTTTGTTTTTTTGTTTGTTTGTTTGTTTTTTGTTTATTTTTCAAAATAGTCACATTTCAATAGAGCCTACTATAAAAATTGAACACTTTCATAAATGTTTACATTCATATGTTGGTAATGTGGTTGATATCTCGTACACCCAATAAACTTATCTGGGGGTCAGAGAACAGAACAGCCACTAGATATAGAGGCCATAAAATGGTGGCACACATACCTTTAATGCTAGCATTTCAGAGGCAGAAATCCATCTGGATCTCTGTGAGTTCAAGGCCACACTGGAAACAGGCAGGCATGGTGACACACACCTTTAATCCCAAGAAGTGAGCCTTTAATCCCAGGGAGTGATAGCAGAAAGCAGAAAGCTATATAAGGCATGGAAACCAGGAACTAGAAGCTTTGGGCCTGGTTAAGCTTTTAGGCTTTGAGTAGCCATTCAGCTGAGGTTCATTATGAATGAGGACTCAGAGACTTCCAGTCTGAGGAAACAGGATCAGCTGAGGAACTGGCGAGGTGAGGAAGCTGTGGCTTGTTCTGCTTCTCTAATCTTCCAGCATTCACCCCAATACCTGGCTCTGAGTTTGATTTTATTAATAAGAACTTTTAAGATTCCTGCTACAGTATTCTCTTTTGGATTCAGTTTTTATTTAATTAGAAGTTTACTAAAGAAGCTGTGTCAACTTACCACTTCACAAATATGGTCCTAGAATTTATTTTTCCACTCCTTCAAATCTTTTAACTGAATTTACTTGTAATATTTAGAAATTCAATGTGTAAAAAATTGGAATTCTGCTGTAGCTTACAGTGTCCTTACTTAGGGCAGATTAGGTGTTTCTTTATAAACGTATAGCACATTAGTGCTTTTTCAATGAACTTACTGTTTTTATCCTTTTAAACCATATTTTTCCTGAGTTGTTTGGGAAATTTTTACCGTGTTTTTCTTTCTAATGACTGATAAGCAGATGAGTTACTCACTTCTTAGTTATTCCCTTGGGCTTTGAACACCCACGTGAACAGTTCTTGGGTCCACAAGCCCGCAAGCTGATATCCATCCAATTGACAGAGCACTGAGTTGCTCTCTTCATGTTTGGAGCCTAGCAAAAAAAACGGGACCTTTTTATTCTTGTCACTGTTGTTTGCTAAGTGATGCACTTGGATTTATGTCTATCATCCCTTGTATCTTCCTGCCATGAGGTTATTGGTAAACTTCTTTTCTTCTACTCTTTTGGTAACTTATTTTTACGTTATAATCATTGCTTTTCAAAAGTTCTGTCAAATAAGATAGAGTTTTGACTGCAGAATAAAATGAGGATCTGGTCTCATTTCCATTTTATCTTTCATTCTCTTTTGTATAATGGCTGCCTGGTTTCTGTAACACCACCAAGGGAATCATCCATTGTTACTCAACTGCTACATGTTTATCACCTACTAAGACCTTCATATTGACTCCAATTCTGATGTAATCTTCTGCTTCACTGATCTAACAATCCTTGAACCAATTCCAAATATCATTAAGCTGTTATTTTTATCCTCTCTTATACAAGAACCTTGTGTTCCTTGATTGTTGTTCAAATTTTTCTTGGAAATATTATTTGCTATTTTTATTAGAAACTTTAAAATCTATTTGGCAAGTCTAAATTAATTTTTTCATCTATTTGTGAGGATAAAATCAACTCCCTGGATAAACTTACAGTTGACACCTTAGAATATTAAATGTTCCTACTCAAAACTAAGGTATGTATTTCAATTTATCTTATTCTTTTATGGCCTTCTATGGTTTTTCTTTGTTTCATTTACAATGAAAAATTTGAAATATACATAAAAATAAAGTGAATAGATTTTGATTTATTTATCACCCTGCTTCAAAAAAAAAAAAAAACCAGTTTGTGGGGAGATGGGCCACTGGTAGAGAGCTTGCCATGCAAGCCTGAGGACCTAAGTTTGGATCCCAGGATGGATGCAAAAAGTCGTCATGGTGACACATGCCTGTGATCCCTTTGCCTTTCTATTCTTCACATTAAACGCCTGCTATTTGTTCTTATGTCTTTAATAGAGTTCTACAGCAAAACCCATTTCTTTGTAGGAAAATCTAATGCCCATACTAGTTTTCATTACTGGATATTGGTTCAATAAGGTTATTTCTTTGTATCTGAGTGAATTTTGGGAGTTTACCTTTCACAGAATTTTATATAAATGCAGTTCATTATACATATTCAATGTGGCATTAATCATTTGTACTGACACAACTCTTTCTTGCTAAGATTAGTAATTTGTATCCTTCCATTGTTTCTTGATTGAGCTTTTAATTTTATCATTTAAAATAATCTCTTTATGATTATTTCACTTTTCTCTGACTCAATATTATTTTAAATTTTTATACCAATTTAAAAAAATT